TTTTATGGAATAATAAAGTGGATTTGAGAGTTCTTAAGCCAGTCTTGTCATTGTTTAACTGAAGAGTTCATACTGAAAGGTTCTTCTGTAGTAAAAGTTGGATCACGGGGTCCGGAAGAGGCACGATTTGTCATCCAACCCCCGTCTTGTTCTGTGGCCCAAATCAGGAACTGCTTTTGGGCCACTGAAACTGGGTGCGTATCAAAGGCTGTCATAGACTTTGACGGAGACTTGCTTAGCACATCTCCGCTGTGGGCTACTCTGAACCAATTCATTTAGTAGCTACATCGAGAGGTAACGGGGTGTGTTCTGCCTTCCAGTTGCATTCCTCCATACTGAAGTCTCACTCCCGTAAATCAATCAGTCAAGCTGCCTTTTAGCATTGGATTGACAACTTTGGGATCAGTAAAACAAAAAAAAACTATAACCTGGTGGTTGAAAGGGTTGAAGGACGAATGGAAGTTCCTTCATTTGAGGGATAGATTGCACACCGCATCAGCGAGGAGACTTCTAACCATAGAGTTACTAGTATGATCAATTAGCGAATGCACACAGGACATGTGATGAATTGTAAATCATCCACACATGAACGAGGCCTGAGGTAAGACCGAGATCGTCCACACTGCCAACCCCAAAGGTAGACCTCGATTCACTTCAGCGGCAAAAAGTTCACATCACAAATGACATTGAACATTTATTCGACTCCATAAACGTTCAGAATGGACAAGGGATATGAAGACAAAAATATTAGCCATCACACGCATAGGAAAACAACCTCGATTGCGCACGCAACCAATTACATCTCCTCCATCGCCTTGCAGATACCTGCCAGACCGTCTGCAGCAGTACCAGTTGCAGCGATGCGGAGGACCTCAAGGAAACGATCTCTAAAGCCATCATCTTCAGTGCTTGATGACGAGGATGGCGGAAGGAGGAAAGACGCAGCGCGAAGCAGATCCAGACAGCGCTTTTCTTCATTCCCCTCCTCCCACTGGAACCATTCAGGTGAAGGAAGATTGGCTAGGCTTATTGCTAATCTAGAAGGCAAAACATTTGCATCGGTGTCGGAAAATGAACTAGATTCTAGTTAAAAGGAAGTATTTCAAGTATTTGCGGAAAAATGTCATTGTCGTGATAAATGGCTTAGCTGGTCATCTTGCCGTGACAATGTGGATCTGCTCTAATGTCTTTCAACCCTGTTCTACACCCCCCACGAGGCCTTCAAGGCATGCTAGGCACACTTCATGGTCGGAAGGAAACATTTCAAACAAACACCTAGGCAACGACTTTTGATCTTTACAACTGCTGTCATTTCTTTTGAGCATTTTCTGATAACTTCAAATGTGAAGAAGTTTGCAATTCAAATTTCAAATTTGTCTCCAGACAGATGGAAGGAGAAAGAAAAAATGTGAATCACATTATAATCTACAACTGACATGGAGTGTACCGCCTCACAACTCAAGTCCGCACCACCTTCCACCCACAATGTGCATACGGCCGCTACCCAGTAGCCATGACAACGAAGAACTCGCGATGGCGTGCGATGAAGAATGGAAGGGAGTGCCAGAAGCACCCACTCTCGAGCCACCTCAGCTCCCCTCTGGATGCCGCATAAAGTCACCACAGCTGCGCGAAGCACTGCAGTAGCCAGACGAATGTAGGCCTGATCTGTGCGTGCCACTTCTGCCACTGTTTTGTTTACAAGACCTCCCAGAACGGTGGAGAAGGAAGGAGAGGAGGAGGCGGCAGCTAGAAGGCTTCTACTAAAGTCTTCTAAAAAACTGCTTAGAGTTAGAGAAATACAACGCGCTTCCAGAGGGGAGGTGTGTGGGCCAATGGAAGGCGGACGATAGGAGAGGGTGCCAAACCCTCGAAGGCACTGCCAGAGGCAGGTTAAATATTCTGTAGAGGTGCTCAACAGCATATCCGTTGAAGGTAAATCCAGAGATGACTTAATCCCGACGTCAGTGTTGCCATCAACGCTACTTGTTCCACTACGATCCGGAGATGCACGCGATAGGAAATCGGCGTTGAGCACGTAA